CCCCCCCCAAAATTATCTGGGGTCCTCCAGAACCCCCCCCCTGCACCCTGAGACCCCCCAGGGCAGTTAGCCTGAGTCCCCAGGGACCCCCAAACCCCCAACCCAGGGCACTCAGGGACCCCCAAACCCCCCTCAATGCACCCCAGGACCCCCAAATCCCCCTCAGAGCACCCAGGGACCCCCAAACCCCCAACTCAGGGCACCCAGGGACCCCCAAACTGCCCTCAAGGCAGCCAGGGACCCCCAAATCCCCAACCCAGGGCACTCGGGGACCCCCAAACCCCCCTCAATGCACCCAGGGACCCCCAAACCCCCAATTCAGGGCACTCAGGGACCTCCAAATCCCCCTCAGGGCACCTGGGGACCCCCAAATTCCCAATTCAGGGCACCCAAGGATCCCCAAACCCCCCTCAATGCACCCAGGAGGGCTCTGGGGTGTGTCGTCCCCCCCCGGTGTCCCCCCCGGTGTCACCCGGTGTCACGCGGTGTCCCCTCAGGGCTGGCGGCGCTGTTGGGGGCGGGGCTGTTCGTGGCCAGCGGTGGCCGGGCCGGCGGTGGCCGTGCCGGGCACTGCCCGGTGCTGGCCGGGCTGGGGGGAGCCCTGGCGCTGGCCAGCGGGGGAGGGTACCTGCGCCTCCGGACACGGGACTGAGCCGGGACACGCCCACCCGGGACACGCCCACCCGGGACACGCCCACCCGGGACACGCCCACCCGGGACACGCCTACCCGGGACACGCCCATTGGATACAGCAACTGGACACGCCCACCCGGGACGCCCACCCGGGACACGCCCACCCAGGAAGCGCCCATTGGATATGACTGGACACACCCACTGGGCACACCCATCTGGGACACGCCCACCCTGGACACACCCACCCCGGAAACACCCATTGGATACAGCAACTGGACACACCCATTGGACACGCCCTCTGGCCACGCCCACTGGACACACCTAATGGACACGCCCTTTGGACACGCCCACTGGACAATATTCCCCCCCCAGCCCAACCAACAACCCCCCAATGACATCATCATGCGACCAATTATGGTGTCATCAATGTGGCCAATGACATCATCAAACGTGGCCGATGACGTCTTTGGTGGTGTTGGTGCGGGCAATGACGTCATCGGTGACAAGGGCGTAGCCAATGAGGGCGCTGACAGCATCGATGACGTGATCAACGAGATGGGTGTGGCCAATGACATCATCAGCACGGCCGCTGACATCACCAGCGAGATGGGCGTGTCTCGTAATGTCAATGACGTCATTGGCCGGCAGAACTGACGTGGCCAATGACATAATCAGCAAGGTGGGTGTGGCCAATGACATCAGCAGCAGGGTGTGTGTGTCTGATGACATCATCAGCAAGGCAGGCACGAGCAATTACATCATCGATGCAGGCAATGATGTCATTGATGGGATGGGCGTGTCCAGTGACATCACTGCAGTGTCAACATGACCAGTGACATCATCTGTGTGGCTAATGACGTCATCACCGTGGCGCTCCACGGGGGGTCAGGGCTGCCGTGGGTGGGTGGGGGTCTCCAGGGATCTCTATAGGGTCCTGTGGGTCTCCATGGGGCGCTATGGGGTCCATAGGGTGGGTGGGGGTCTCTATAGGGTCCTGTGGGTCTCTATAGGGTCCTGTGGGTCTCTGTGGGGCGCTATGGGGTCCATAGGGTGGGTGGGGGTCTCTATAGGGTCCTGTGGGTCTCTATAGGGTCCTGTGGGTCTCTGTGGGGCACTGCCAGGTGCCACCGAGGGTGCTGTGCGCTCCTAGTGCCTGCTATAGGGTGCTATAAGGCTCTATAGGGTGCTATAGGTCTCTATAGGGCACTATAGAGCTCTATAGGGCACTGCAGGTCTCTGTAGGGCTCTATAGGGTGCTGCAGGGCTCTATAGGGCTCTGTAGGGCGCTGCAGGTCTCTATAGGGCACTGCAGGTCTCTATAGGGCTCTATAGGGCACTGCAGGGCTCTATAGGGCACTGCAGGTCTCTATAGGGCGCTATAGGGCTCTGTAGGGTGCTGCAGGTCTCTGTAGGGCACTGCAGGTCCCTATAGGGCTCTATAGGGCACTGCAGGTCCCTATAGGGCTCTATAGGGCGCTGCAGGGCTCTATAGGGTTCTATAGGGCTCTATAGGGTGCCCTATGGCCACGCCCCTTTCCCGTAGGCCACGCCCCCGCCTCGTACCGGGCAGAGCCGCACGAGGAAAAGGGGGCGGAGCCTCGCTAAGGGCGCGGCCAATCAGGCGCGGGCGCGCGGAGCGCCCCCCAGCGGCCGTGAGGGAAGGAAAAGGGCGGGAAAGCGCTGAGGGGAGCGAGGTGGTGGAGGCGGGAAAGACCCCTCAGGACCCCCAGACCTCCCTCTGGAGCCCCCAAACCTCCTCCGGGACCCCCCAAACCTCCCTCGGGACCCCCAAACCTCCTCCGGGACCCCCAAAACCTCCCTCGGGACCCCCAAACCTCCTCCGGGACCCCCAAAACCTCCCTCGGGACCCCCAAACCTCCCTCGGGACCCCCAAAACCTCCCTCGGGACCCCCCTGGACTTGAATAGCGGGCTCTCTAGCGGTGAGTGAGCCCCCGGCTCTGGGGTTTGGTCATGGCGGGCTTCCCTCACTCCCCTCCCCTCATGCTGAGGCTCCCAGCATTGCGTGGGCTCCCCCCTCAGCTCTGAGGGTCCCGACATGGTGGGGGGTCCCCTGTTTCCCTCAGCCACCTCCCCTTATCCCTCCGTGGGGAGCTCCATCCTGGCAGGGCTCCTGTCCCCGCCGCGTCCCTCTTCCCCTGGCGCTGCTGTCACGGTCACCCAAGCGTGGCCCGGGGACTGGAAGCGGCTGCTGGACACACAGGTGATTAACGGGGTTCATTAGCGCATGGCCGCGGGCCCGGCCCTGTCCCCAAGCTGCCACCTGGCTCTGTCTTCCCACCTGTCCCCAAAAGCCACCACCTGGCCCCTGCCGGTAGCTGCCGGCCACCAACTGTCTCTGTCTCGGTCCCCTCACCTGGCCCTGTCCCCAGCTGCCGCCTGGCCTGAGGCAACCGCCTGGCCCTGTTCCCCCGAGCTGTGCTCGTCCCCATCCCCTGAAGTGTCCCTGCGGCCACCACAACCCTCCCAGGGCTGCCCCTCAGTCTCCCCTCCTGTCCCCCACCCCCCAAAACCTGCCCCCCACCCCCAGCTGCTGCCCCGTAACTCCCCCGGGGCGGTTCTGAGGGGTGTTAAAGCAGTTCGGAGGTTTCTGAGGGGTGTGAAAGAGTTTCAGGGGGTTCTGAGGGGTGTGAAGGGGTTCGGGGGGCGGTTCTGATGGGTGTTAAAGGTGTTCGGGGTTGGTTCTGAGGGGGGTTAAAGGGGTTCGGGGCGGTTCTGAGGGGTGTTAAAGGGGTTCGGGGCGGTTCTGAGGGGTGTTAAAGGGGTTCGGGGCGGTTCTGAGGGGTGTTAAAGGGGTTCGGGGCGGTTCTGAGGGGTGTTAAAGGGGTTCGGGGCGGTTCTGAGGGGTGTTAAAGGGGTTCGGGGCGGTTCTGAGGGGTGTTAAAGGGGTTCGGGGCGGTTCTGAGGGGTGTTAAAGGGGTTCGGGGCGGTTCTGAGGGGTGTTAAAGGGGTTCGGGGCGGTTCTGAGGGGTGTTAAAGGGGTTCGGGGCGGTTCTGAGGGGTGTTAAAGGGGTTCGGGGCGGTTCTGAGGGGTGTTAAAGGGGTTCGGGGCGGTTCTGAGGGGTGTTAAAGGGGTTCGGGGCGGTTCGGAGCGGTGTTAAATTGGCTGCAGAGGCTTGAGGTGTCGGGGGGCGCTCCCGGTCTCTGTCACGATCTGGTGCCGGGCTCTGAACCCAAATGATCCCCGGGAAAGGAGCGGGGTTCGGCCCGTCCTGGTCCCCGGGCGGTACCGGGAGGGGCGGAGCCGGTACCGGGAGGGGCGGGGCCGGTACCGGGAGGGGCGGAGCCGGTACCGCAGGGGGCGTGGTC